CATAAAGCGACTTTGAAATTAGTCTTCTTCTCAGAAATGCAAGGAGTCAGTTGCATTCCTCCCATGTGGTTAGGTATATGCAGCAACACAGCACAGGCTTTATAAAACATTCATTCATTCATTTTTAAATCTACTTTCCAAGACCACACTGCAAATTACATCCCCCTCCCCTCCCCTCCCATTGCTCTGACAATAGTTCAGGTGAGGACAGTTTAATAATGGATTTCATCTTTATCATTGACCAGCTAAATAATGTAAGAAAGGCCACAGTTTCTCCTCTCCCCCTGCACCACCCTGCCAAAAACAGCCCTTAAAAACATAAGTGCTCAGGAACTTAAAGTCTCTGCTGGAGTTTAGATACTGGCTTGGATTAACTGCAAACTCAGCAGCTGGGTTGTTTTACTGAGTTTGAAGAAATTGGCTTTTGAGTAAGCCCAAGTAGTGCTTGGTGCTCGTAAAGCTGCAGGCAAAAGGAAGAACAGCCTGCTTAAAACTTGCCTGAAATGATCCAACTCTGCAAGACTAGACAAGAGATTAAGTTAGTGTTTATCAAAGTAAAAACTAGAGCTATCAAAAGCTCTATTTCAGCCTGGGGACAGCCCCTGCACATGTACATGTGCTCAGCACTGTCTTAACCCAATACTGCTGCTCGGACACAGACACTTCTCAGAGGCACCGGACAGATTCCCAGACTTCTTCACATGGAACTGTACAAAACACTCTGAAAATGTGAAGTCTTTGAGTTGGCTTCAGACAGGAAGCAAAAAATTAGTATTTCAGAGTCTAAGGAACAGACTATTATGCTTGTAATTATCTACATAAGGACATAATTCACATTCTGTGGTGCAAGAATATGATGACTTTGCCTGGCATCAGGAATCAGATTCCCAGACTTCTTCACATGGAACTGTACAAAACACTCTGAAAATGTGAAGTCTTTGAGTTGGCTTCAGACAGGAAGCAAAAAATTAGTATTTCAGAGTCTAAGGAACAGACTATTATGCTTGTAATTATCTACATAAGGACATAATTCACATTCTGTGGTGCAAGAATATGATGACTTTGCCTGGCATCAGGAATGGAATAAGCAGAATATAGACAGAGAGGAGGTATTCTTGATTTACAACCTGCACATCTAGAATTCAATTATTTTAACTTGTCTAGTGACTTACTAGATTAGGTAGGATCTGGGTTTTATTCTTTCAAAGAGCTGAAGTTCTCTAAACAAAAGCACTTTTAATACGTCCTTTTCATTCAGATTGAAGTGATGCATGAAGCTAGTCAAGGAGGATCTAGCAGAGTCCTGGTGACGAGTGAAAGTGATGAGAACCTGTCAACAAGGAGGAGGTAAGGCTGCACACGTGCCAGTATATTTGTTATTAGAATGCACCTTACTGCATTTATAGTACTTCTTTGAAGTTCACTGAGGTTAATGAATAGTTGGCTATAATGAAGTCACTGAAATGCTTACTGCCATGCATTTACACCCAGTCTATCAGATAGAAATCTTTTGATTTGGGTTGGGGGTTTTTTGGTTTTGTTTTTTTTTTCTTAGAAGCATTAATTACAAGATATGAGAAAATAAGTCATTCAAATATGCCCTGCATGTATTTACAAAAAAACAGTATTAAAGATCATCTCAGTGTTCAGAATATTCATATTTGACTATATGCCTCTGAGAAGCTTCTGGGTTTTTTATTTGCAAGCTAGAGATTCTGCAGTCTTGAGAGAAAGATTATTAGCAAGGTATTCTAAAGCACCAGACACTCAAGTCACTTAGTTCAATAAAAAGTACCACATAAACCCAGTTCAATTTAGCTGAACTGCACAGTTTCTAGGCCAAAGGGAGCAATTAAAAAAACACCCAACCAAACTAAAAGCCTCACAACAAAACCCACCCTGCAAGAAGCTGAACACCACAATCCTCACTGACTTAGTTTCCTTTGTTCTCTTCTTCACCTGATGCAAAGGACTCAGTTTGTAAAATCCCTAGCTTGATACATTATGTCAGACAAATTGGAGAGACATACACATCATTATTATCTGAATTTAATTATACCCCATGAAAATACCATGTCTGGTCTCCAAACCATCAGCTAGTTTACAAAAGGTGCAAAGTACGACCTGAAACAGAATTTGTGTAGACAGATGCACATCTCTGGAGGAATGACTGCCTGAAGAGAACATACTTGGAGTTCACAGTAACAACAGATTAAGCTTCTAATAACTAGCAGTTTTATACAACTTTAGACCTAGAAGCTTGGTAAACAAATTTGTGAGCTGGAACACCAATTTTGCCTTTTGTCCACAACAATTTTGCTGCAAAGTAGAACAGAATGGAAACAAGGGAAGAGGGGCAGGGTGGGGAGGATGGGGCAGTTTGAGGTCCTCTTGCAAGAATGAACTCAGATAACACTTAGAAGCATCAGAGCTGATTCTGTCACTAACAAAGAAAGCAACAAGACATATTTACCTTTGTTGTGTTGTTCAGGGTTTTTTTAAAAGAAATAAGTCTGTTTATTCAAAACAAATTTTACAAAACAATTGTCTTTCTGTGGTACAGAGCAAAGTTGAAGAATAAATATTGAATACTTTGTATAAAAATTAGTAATATCAAAGGGAAACTGATGCAAACCAAACAAACAGGTAAAAAAAAATTTAGCATTAAATATGCTGTGCAACAATGTCAAACTCTTAATGAGGAGTGACCATTCAGGCTGATACAGTTTTATTTCTAGAAGTAAAACCTGACAGCCCTGCATTGGAGCACCGAGACTATTGTTTAAAAAGGTTCCAGATGAAGGTGTACCACTCTTTAAGTCATGTTTAGAACCAGAAAATAAGAAGTTTTCTAGCGTCTCCACTTTTGAAAGGAGTGCCTTCATACTTTCCTTTTTATTCAACAAGCAACTTCTTTTCACTGCAGCAAAAGAAAATGCATGCTATAAACATCAAGGCCCTTTTAAGATTAAGAAACAATCCAAACAATACTCAAACCAACTGTAAAACAAAGTATTTCAATGGTCAAAAGTGACTTTCAAATAATGGCAAACTATATTTAAGCAGCACTTTAGATGTTAGCTAGTTTAAGCTACTTAAAACTTATTTTACCTTTGCTTGTATGAGTGAAAACAATAAATCCCAACACATAGTTATGCTGGAAAAAAACCGTAGTCTTACTAGTACATTTTGGTTGCATCCTGCATATGAAGACCCTCTATCCCTCCAGTGAACAGGGTGGCTTTTTCTAGCAGTGCAGTTTTGCTGTGCAGTTTGTTGATTTAAATGGCTCACAACAAGTCAGAAATCTGATGAAGCAGCTTTCCTTCAGTACAGAATTTTCTCTACACGTGCACTTATTTCCCTGTAAGTCAACAGGTTATATAGATCTAGGGCTGTCTTGTGTTTTGTTTTGTTTTGTTTTGTTTTTTCTTTTAAACACACATATCCTCAGTACTATAATCAATTTGTCTAGGCAAGAACAGGAACTGGATTTGCTCATTCTAAAGTACAGCTGTTATATTCTTCGGTCATTCTGACACTGATAAATGCTTTATTTGTGGGCTCTTTATATGCCCAGCATTTGGAACCAGTAAGCTGTATATTTTAGTTAATTCCAGTAGCTAGCAACATCCATCTGGACAGCTTACAGAACAGCCAGCAAGCTCACTGCTGGATTCTGTCTACAGCAACAGATACCATTAGCCATTCAAACCAGAAAACCTGCAGCACAGCTCCAAGGGCAGTAGCAGTTAGTTAAATCAAGTTTACTACTCGCAGCTTAAAACTAGCAAGTCCTGTACAGCTGTACAGCTACCACAGGATTGGCAATTAGCAACTGAGGTATCTGTCCTGAGAGTCTGTGGAAACACCATGAGTGAGCTGTACAAGCAAGGGCTGCAGACAACCTACAGCTCTGATTCTCTGCAGTATCTCTATGGCACCACAGTACAACTCATAAGGGGTGGAGTTTGCACATCACTTAGTTCTATTTTGATTTACAATGCACAAGGTAATTTGTTCCTCTGCAAGTGATTTTAACATTGAATTATATTCAAGATATAGGGTTCTGTAGACACAAGCAACCCTGAAATTATAAAGACAATTTTGACTTCAGGAGAAATATTTTAGTTACTTTGATTTGTGTACTGAGTTTCTGTGAATCACCATCTCCATATCCCTTCAATGCAAAGTCAAAGTTTGAGCAGAAAATACCCTCCCTCTTTGTTAGCACTAGCATGAAATTTTACTTTTTTAAGTCTTTAAAAGCTTCAAGTTAGCTCTAAGTAACATTCTAGGGGGACTTTTGATTGTTTTTCACTTTTAGAACCCTGAAGACTGGAAAACAGAAGCATTGTTAAAAGAAAACTCATTTAGCTTATTTGCTTATTAAGTGTTGGACTGATTAAATACACTGATTCAGTTTTCAGAAGGCAGAGAAATATTAGCCAAACGAGTTACATGAGTAGTATTTTATTTTTTATAACTTCAAGTTCTAAAGGGACCTCCTTTGTTACTCAAAACTATCAAGTCAGAGGGCACTCAAACACTC